GAGAGGGAGAAGCAGGCTTCCCACCGAGCAGGGAGCCCGATGTGGGGCTCGATCCCAGGACCCCGGGACCATGACCTGAGCCGAAGGCAGACGCTCAACGACTGAGCCACCCAGGCGCCCCTGGGCTCATACAAATCTTAAAGGTCGGAAGCAATTGGCACAGGGCCTGAGGGAAGCAGAGAGATAGGACGGAACACGCGGAACAGCCGTGCCCCGACCCGAGACGAGATGAGGCCCTGTGGCCGCCAGACTCACCTAAGGACAGGTTCAGGACATCAGGACAGGCCAGGTGCGAAGGTTGTTGCTCCACCAGCTCAAACATGGGCAGGGCGCCCCCGAGCAGCGACACCTGTCGGCCGACGCAGCCGTGAGACACAGCCTAGCGCCCCCGCCCAGAGATCAGCACTGCCCGCGGGGGGAACCGCACAGGAGGAAGGGGAGGCAGCCTCCGAACGATAGGCTCTCGGGCTTCTGCCAGGTCCGCGCGTCGTCAGGCCCCTGCGACTGCTCACCCGGAGAGCGGCAAAGCAGCCGCCCTGTGGGCACCTCCGCGTGCTGCCTCCGCTCAAGGTCATGGCCACGACCCTGACAAACCCAAGCCCCCCAAAGGCTCACGAGCAAGGTCTGCGCCTGTGTTCCCTGCGCACGACGAGGTCAATGCCATAAGCCATGCCGCAAGCTGCGCGCAGGGTGCCGAGGGAGGCGGGACCCCAAGCTGGAGACCCCGAGACGGCCCTCCCCCAGCCCCCACCCCACGCGCGGGGACCCACCACCCACCTGCCTGACTTGTCGGCACCAGTCATCAAAGTCGTCCTCGGTCTTACAGAAGAAGCCCTAGAACAGAAGTGACCATGAGCCGCACGCGGCAAGGCGCACAAACAGACCGCGCTCCGGTGCCGCGCCCAGCGCACGGTGGCCTGGAGAGAGGCCAGGGTCTCCGCCTGCCTCCGGGGGCTGGGTTCAAGGCTCGACCCTCCGCCCTCTGCCCTGGCCGACCAGGCCACAGAGGCCACGTGCGGGTTAACGGCCCCCCACCCGGTGGCCCCTAGCCGCAGGGAGCCCTGGGTCCCGTGCAGAGTCGGTGGTGACGGCGCGCTCCCAGACCCACCCCCACGAAGCTCCGACGCCTGGACACGTTACTAGATGCTCCAGGCACCGCCAGGACTACAGGGATGGTCACGGAACGGGCGCCCGCTCTCGCTGCGAAGACCATCCACACTGCCCCGGGCTCTGGCAGGACACGGGCAATGTTCCGCTGGAAGACGGGAAGCTGGCTTCTCCTGAGGAGCCCGTGCACAGCCCCCTTTCTCAGGTGAGGACGGGGTCACACCTCCCCTCCCCGTGTCCGCGGGCCCGCTGCGTACGGCACTGCGGTCCAGGCTGCTCTGTGTCTACACCAGCCCCAGTCCCCTACGGAGACGCGCTTACTGCCACAGCGTGCCTCGCGCTTGCTGGACGGGGGCTCAACCCTCCAACTCTGGCCACGCCCCGCCACCCTCGGGCGGCTTCCCCGGCCACCAACCTCAGGACACAACAAGACCCACAGACTGCGCGTCCAGAGAGGTCTGTTTCAGGACCGGGATCTACCTTGTCGTCTGTGACTCAGTTAATCGCTCCCTGAGGGACACCATTCCTTCCAGATGTTTCTGACCCCCCTGCCCCCATCAAATGCATTTTGAGAATACATAGGTTTACGTAAATCACGGCCCAAAATTCCACCTTGTAATCAGAGCAAGGAAGCTCATTCTTAGCAATCATCTCCCAGATCCCTGAAGTCAAAAAACTGAAAGTCAAACCCCAAACCCCAAAAAGGTGGTGCAGAGCAGGGAGTGGGGCAGACTGCTGCTATGTTCAAGGGGGCCGCTCGCTGTGAGGGCCATGAGGGCCACACGGGCTGAGGGCCCCTGGGGGGCGTAAGGAGCTAACAGACATTGCTAACCCTTTTGTGCTCTGTGCACTCGAAACCACGTGAATGTGAGACCTACTCCAAAACACTGAAAAAAAAAATCCTAAAACTCGGAGACCCTTCCCTTCCATTCCAGAACAGCAGGACTGAGCACAGACGGACTCAGAACACCTGCCCACTAGCTCACGTGGTCAGAGGAGGAGGCAGGACGCAGTGGGGGACGCACCACGGCAATGGACGGGTCGAGCTCCCCGATGCTCATCCTGCTCGGCGGGTGCTGGCAGTGGAAGCTCTCGTCTGGGATGAAGCAGCTGTCGGTGAACTCCACCGCTGGCTGTGTCGTGTGAGGGTCCAGGTATATGAGCTCTTCACCTGGGTAAGACGACAGGGAGCAGACTGGGGTCCCACTCAGACGTGCCACACAGAAATCCACTTAGCCGGACACGCCAGGTTGGGGTGGGAACCCGACTGCTGAGGAGAAGAGGGTCCACAGGAGGCCGGCACCAGCCAGGTGGGGACACTGACCCCTCACGGGAGCATGCTCCTTTTTAACTGGACACCCTGGGTCAAGCCAACACCCTACGGATGTTTAGGCTGCTATGCAGAGGACTCCCTCTCCCTCAGCTTCCGGCTGACCTCACATGCCTGCAGAACCACCACTCACCAACATAGCCGATGAAGTAGTGGGCACTGTTGGGCTTCCCTCCGATCACTCCCAGGGACTGGGGCATCATGAAGCAGCGCTGCAGGACAGAGGGGAAGGCGGGGCGGCTGAGCAGGCCACCCGACCATGAGTCTGTGTGCTGCGGGAAGCCGACCCCAGGGCCCGACAGGGTGACGGGAAGGAGAGCGGGAAGACATGGTCCCCAAGAGCTTAGTCAGGAAGAGCAGAGACTGCAGGGTGAGCGCAGAGGCCCACAGGAGAGGCGGTCAGGACTGCCCGGACGCGGGCAGGTAGGGGCCAGGAGTCCACAGGGGCCAGAGGGCAGAAGGGGCCGACATGGCGACAACAAGCAGCAGCATCTCTCCCCGCTGCTGGTCGGCGAGAAGACCCACCTTCAGGGTCTCCACGTAGGCCTCGTTGATGTCCGTGAGCCCCAGGCGCAGGGGGATGAGAAGCACCAGGGGTCTCCACGGTGCCGGCCTATTGGTGAGCTCAGCTCCCGCAGGGAAGCCGTTACAATGCCGGCTGGAGTCCGCGGGGAGCGCGGCGGCCCCCGCACACGGAAGGCTGCCCCTGCACAACCTTCCTGAAAAACAGAGACGTGCTTTCAAAGGCTGAACAGCAGCAGACAGAAGTTTACCCCAAAGGAACAAGTACATAATTAGTCATAGGAAACGAGTATAAAAAAGTCAAGTGCTTAACACAATCTGAACCTGGAAAATAAGTCCTGCCGCCCACAGAGAAAAAAAAGAATCATTTTCTACGCATGTCCAATTTAAAACTGTTGCCGTGAAATGAAGTCTCAAGTGAAACAAAGCGAACAGCGCCGTGCGTCCCGGGCAGCCGCCACGCTGGTGGGCACGCTTGGTGGGCACGCGCACTGGCCCCACGCCAAGGACATCATCGGGCAACAGCCTTGCTCCTCCCTCAACGTGGAGACAGCTTGTTTCTTCTAAGCGCACTGCTAATCCTCCGTCGGTGTGCTACCGAGGAGGCTGGTGGTGGGGACAGGGACGCTCCAGGGGCCCCAGCCCAGCAGGCGCCCAGACCGTGGTTTCTGAACACCTTTCCCTGCTAAACGTTTGGAACCAGGGCTCCTCGGAGAAACCGCTGATCCCTGGCCGGGGTCAGAGAAAGGACAAGGTGGGCCAGCCACCTTGCCAGCCGGTAAACCCAAAGGGAAGGATGGTTACAGAAGCCACCATTCCAGGCAAAAATCCTCGACACGCATTCGGTATCACCCCCGGATCCCCATTAATCACAGGGAAGCAGGAACATGGCCCGAGCAGGTGACCCGAGGGGAAGTGTTACTGACGGGCCTCCGGCTGTGGGGCTGAGGACACAGCCACCAGGTACTGCCAAGAGGTTTCCCCTGATCTAATCCTGACGACGCACATACGTTGAGTGGGGGGCACTGCACCAAACTGGCCTGGGTTCTTCAAAACGTGCCATGATAAAGCAGGAAGATAAACCAAGGAGAACTTTCCAGATCAGAGGAGACTGCACAGGCGTGGCAACCACATACAACCCCGGCCCCTCGACCACAGGCCGGAGCGGGCCAGGGAGGGCCAGGGCGGCCGGGCAGCAGGAAAGCAGGTGAGCTGACGGCCGACAACTGGGGATGCAGGAGGGAGGAGGACGGCTGCATGAACACGGGACTGGAATTTCTCAAAATGCATAGTTGGAAAATGAAGAATGGGGGTGGGGGGACTACTTGCTGACTGCATCTTTCTCACCAGCACAGACCCTCACATGGATCGGCTCAAGAAATGACAGAAGCAGGGCCTGTCACGCGGCACTGTGGGGACTCACAAGGCTGCATGTGGCCTGTGACATGGCAAGCGTCCAGGCACCCACGGGTCCCTTGCTCATGCTCCCTTCACATCCCCACCATGCGTGAGCTCTCTCCGAGCCCATCCGTGACAAGAGCCCCACACGGCCTGCCACCTCCTCAGCACGCTGCCCCGGCCCCACCAGCACCTGCTGCGGCAGGAAGACCAGACAGCCGGGCCAGCGGACCGCCTCTCTTCAACAGCAGCTTCTCACCACCACCACCTTCCTCCGGACGCTTCCAAGGGTCCGTCTCTGCAGTTTGGAAGTGTCACTAGGAACACGCGTATTTGAAGAACCCCTGGTTAAAAAACTGGGAGGTGCTCAGCTGTGAAAACGCCAGCTCGGGCACAGGGAGGCTGGCTGCCCGTTCCTTCGTGGTCACCCCATCCTCGCCTCCTGGAAGTTCCAACCACAGGCACCTCTGCTTTATTTCTGCCACCAGGGTCTTTCTGTGGCGTGCCTTTGTGGGCACTGTCTCGCTGTCTTCTTCGACCTGTGAGTCCTCCCCAGATTCAGTGCCTTCCCAGTGTCTCACAAAGCTCCAAATTCATCCAGGGCAAGCCATGGCGGAGGCTGCTCTGGGGTCCCGGCTGGTGCCCCAAGGAGGGCGGCACATCTCCGCCAGCAAGGCTCCCCCGCAGAGCACTCTCCCCCGAAATGGACAGGGAAGGCGGAAGGCCGGTGCTTTTGCCAGGGAGCCGCTCGGGAGACCCGGACAGCCCCGGCTTGGCCAGTATGGGTTCTCCATTCGCACTGATGAACTGGAGCTTTCTCTCCCACACCTGCGACCGCGGGCAGCCACGACTACAAAAGTGGCTCTTTGCCTGCCTTGCCTGAGGCCTTGGTGTCCCCTCTAGCCCCCTGGGGCCCCTAAAGCCAAAAACAGCACAGCCATTCAGACTCCCCACCATCTACCACTCACCTCACTAAACTGTGCACAGGACCCCAGGCACTATTTTTGGTCCCAGCGTCCTTGCTCGTGGTGTATTGATGCTATTCTTCCTAAGCTGTCCCCATGAAGAGCATGCATCACTTCTGACTCAGGAGGGGAGAACCCCAGGGCCCTGACCATGGCTGGGCGGCCACACACACCCCACCTGGGAGCCTGTTAAATCCGGCACACGGCCGAGTCTCCTCCAGGCCCCAACCAGCACCTCCCCCCCGCCCCCACCCTCCCCAGGAATGCAGGCTCTGGAAAGCAGCCTGTCCCTCACTCCCTCCTGGCACCACACCGGTGAACCAGCCTCGGAGGGCAGGCTGGGCGGGTGACTGGGTCGACCTGAGGGAGGTGGTTTCCCCAGCACTGGGGGAAAAGGGAAACGGACATGTACTGGGAAATGAACAGCCAGACAGCAGGAAGGCTGCTACATCCCCGACAGAAGACGTGCTCTGGCAACGTGCACGGGCTGCTCAGAACGACAAACACTGGGGGGAGCGGCATCTCCACGTCAGTAGGAACGGTTTCCAAGTGGTTTTCTCCCCCATTCTCTGTATGTTTCCAGTTTCCCATGCTTCGCAAAAATCTCAAGAAATAAAACGTGAGAAGGCAGAAGGGAAAAACACCCGTCCTTGCGTGCAAGTCCCTAGTTTGTCAGCTCTTAGGGGCAAAGGGTCAGGGGACAGGGTCAGCGGGCAGGGAGGGCTGGCTGGCTCCCCCAACTCTGCGAGGTCACAGTCCCCAGGCTGAAGACGCAAAGGGCCGGGCAGCAGCGAGGAGCAACACCGCCGTGGTGTCCGTGCCTGCAGTCATGACACGAGGCCCACCTCTGACCGTCCAGCAAACCCCAGATGAGCACGCTCAAAGGGCTTGCTCTTAGGTAAAATTCAAAGCAAGGCAGCAGCAAATATGTGGAACTTCAATAAAACTGGAGTGGAGGGAGCTCTGGCAAATTCTTTGGGGAAAAGGTGTTCCTAAGCAAAAACCTAAGACATTAAATAGAGTTTTGTCAGCTTGGTTGTATAACGGGATGTAAACTCCAAATTCAAAACTCACTCACTAGAGGCCATTTGCCAAACCCAGCCATCATTTTCCTCCTGGACTAAAACATCAGCATGCCTGGACTCCTTCAGGTTTCCAGTGGATCCTTCCAGAAAGAGGAACAGAGCTGTGCTCCCCCTTCCTGTTACACCTTGGCGAGAAAGCTGTTCTTGCCTGTCCTCGAAGAGCACGATGCCCAAGAAGGGCTGACCCAGTACACCTGAGCAAGTTCTTGCAACGAGGACACAGAGCAAGTCGGGGTACGATGTAGCCCAGCTCTGCGGAGAGTCCGGGCCCTTCCCCTTAGCCTGTTGTATACTGGACGCGGACGAGGGATCCCCAACCTGCATGCCAGTCGAGGCCTGCCCGTGGGCCAGGGAGCCGCTCCCTGAGTCCCACCAGCTACAACCCCTGCACTCTCGTTCACTTACTGATGTCCTCCATCACCACCGTGTTGTCCATTGCTATGTGGACTGCCAAGGCGCTCCAGGTGTCGAAGACAGCCAGTTTCCTAACAGAAAGGGGGAGGACACACCAGTAAGTCTTCACAATTCAAAGACATTTCACTTCCGCGGGGCAAGCAAAGGAAAGAGCAACGAATGCTCCAGCAGTTTTTACAGATGAGAAAAATCACAGCTGAGACATTCAGGGCCCCAGACAGGAATAAAGCTGAGGCTGCGGCCTGCTTCTTCCCACCTGGGCCCACTGCTCCTTCCATTACCCCCAGCTGCCACGTGTGGACAGGGTGCCTGCACAGAAGCCCTGCCCGTGGGGCGTTCTGTCCTGGGAAAGGGAGCACAGACCCTGTCTCAGATACACTACAGGTTCTCCCAACTCAGGAAGGCCCAGCACCCCCACTCCCCATGGTACCTTCACACTCTGCTCCACCTCACCCCAAAAGTGATGCACTGACAAGCAGTTTGAGTCCCCAGAGAGAATCTGTGGCTTAACAACCACAAGAACCCTGGTCAAAGCCCTGAGCCTCTGAAAGATAAGCAAACTACAACCAAAGGTCTAGTGGGAGAACCTGGTCCGTCTGGGGACACACATGGAGGGTGCGGGGCATCAGGGCAACCACACAAAGCCCCTCCCCACGGGAAGGCCAAAGTGGCGGCCGGAGGAACACGAGCAACACTCCACTGGCTGCCTCTCTCTCACCTGCAGAGGGCCAGGTATGGGGCTGAAACCCACTGACACACGAGACAAAGCAGCCCCCCCCAAGACGCGGACATTCCAGACACGAGGCAGGCAAAAAAGAAGTAACTGTGGGTAGTGAGCACGATGGAGAACAACAGAGCAGTAACTGCGGGCACGACCAGTGCAGGTGCAGGAGGCCTTGATGCTGGGGGAAGGCTGGTGCAGGCGCAGAGGCCCCGGGGTGGGTGTGTGCGAGGGGCACGAGGCGCAGCGTGCTGAGAGTGGGCGCGGGGCACACAGTGGAGACGGGCCCGGGAAGGTAGGCAGAGCCGTGCCCACACCTGCAGCTTTCCCTGGAGTCGGCTGGGACCCCCAGGACGGTTCCAGTAGAGAAGGGGCAGACGGCCGACACGTATTTTACGAAGATGACACCTATTGCTATTTTATTTTTACTTATTTATTTTTTTAAGATTTACTGATTTAGGGGCACCTGGGTGGCTCAGTCAGTTAAGTGCCTGGCTTTGGCTCAGGTCATGATCTCAGGTTCCTGGAACTAAGCCCCACGTTGCGCTCCGCACTCAGTGGGAAGCCTGCTTCTCTCACTTCCTCTGCACACTGCCCCCCCACCCCCCCGCCTGTACACACTCTCTCTCTCTCAAATAATCTTTAAAAAAACTCACTGATGTACTTTAGAGAGTGTGTGCACAAGTGCGGCAGTGGTGAAAGAATCTCCAGCAGACTCCCCACTGAGCACGGAGCCCGATGCTGGTGGGGGGGTTCGACCCCACGACCCTGAGATCATGACCTGAGCCAAAATCAAGAGCCGGATGCTTAACTGATGGAGCCACCCAGGTGCCCCAATGCCTATCCGTATTTTAAAAGAGCCTTGAGGGGGGGCACCTGGGTGGCTCAGATGGTTAAGCGTCTGCCTTCGGCTCAGGTCATGATCCCAGGGTCCTGGGATCGAGCCCCACCTCAGGCTCCCTGCTCAGTGGGGAGCCTGCTTCTCCCTCTGCCCCTCCCCCTGCTCATGCTCTCTCTCTGTCTCTCAAATGAACAACAAAAAAAAAAGAGCCTTGAGGATGTCAAAAAAAGGGAAGACCAACGAGGAGGCAGAAGATGGGGCTTGGACCAGGGTTAGGACAGGGAGGCAACGAGCAAAGGTTAGTCTGGACGCGCCTGGAAGGGGTGTGTAGAGAAGAGGCATCTAGCACGACCCCAGTTTCTGGCCTGAGTTCCTGGAAGGACAGCATTCCCTGTAGAAGGAACAGGCCGAGGATGGGGAGAAGGGTCAGCTTTGGGTTTTGGCTGTTAGGCTGACATGCCCCTCAGACATCTAAGGGGTGCTGCTGAGGAAGTATCTGGACCTGAGTCTGGGGTCTGGGCACAAATCAGCACTGGGGGTGTGACGCTGGGAGCTGTGCCATGCAGACCCAGTTCACACTGGTGCTGGCAGAAAAGAGAAGCCGCCAAAGGCCAAGCCAGCCCCGCAGTGCTCACTGAGGGGGGAGGGAGCCCCACAATGGAGCCATAGACCATCAACAGGGACCAGAGGGCATGACTGTGGCCCAGGGTTTCCAAGAGAGAACACCTGCATCAAGAGCCACCTGCTGGACAACTGAGTAAACAGAAGACCGAAACCGGGCACTGGGATGGGACTAGATGGACAGCAACCTCGAAGGAGCTGCTTCAGAGCAGAAGTGGGGACAGTGAGAACCCGCACGCAGACCACGCCGGCAGACCCCACACGCAGGCACGCAAACAGACCATACACACAGGCCACGCGGACGACTCACGCAGGCCGCACACGGACTGACCACACACTGACCACGCAGGGAGATGGACCATGCAGAAAGCATGCTTTCAATGCGTGCGGGGCTAGACCCAGGGTTCTAAGGGGCATGTGGTAGGGGCTCGGTAGAGTAAATGGGGGGGCTGGGTGAGAGGACAGAGAGACAGTGGGCAGGCTTGGGGATCAGCCAGAAGGTGGGTGGAGGATCCCAAAGAACCTGCCAAGAGCAGCCAGATGGAGAGGGCAGCCCTTCACTGCAACAAGGAGAAGCGGGCTGGGGGACGAGGCGGGGAGAAAGGCGGGTACAGACACCCCAAGCAAGGAGCCTGGGCGACAGGGAGCAGGCAACAGATGCACGAATCTGGATGTGGGGGGCAAGGGTCCCAGGCAGGGAGCAGCGGGGTCAGCGCAGAGGCAGAGGCCCATGGCACTCACACTGCTGTCACTCCACAGCAGTTTCCACCTCCCAGACCACCAGAAAAGCACCCTGGTGGACGGGTCCACGTGACAGACACACAGGGGCCCCACACAGTGGGCGCCATCTGAAGACACTCATCCATCAGGAAACATAAGTTCCACACAGGAGCGCACTGGGTGTGGCCGCCTCTGAGGACTCTCAGGAGGGCCGTGAGGGGAAGAGTAAAAGGTCCCTCATCTCCTTCCGCAACCAAGACTCAGGAGAGTTTGAACCCACAGGTCATGCTCACGCTACCCCGAGGAAATGGGAGGCATGGGGCTTGGCACATACTTGAGCACCTGGGCAACGGTGTTGGGCCCGTACCACTGGCCGATGGACTTGCCCTCGCCAACTCCCATTTGTGCTGCAGGAAACAGATAGGATTAGTGATGTGAGCCCCCCTCCCGCCCCGCCCGTCCCCCAGAAGAGGCCCGTCCTGACAGCAGCACGTGGTAGTGGGAACACTCCACAGGAAGCCTGGACAGGCACACCCACCCCTGCCTCCAGCAGGAGCTCCTGACAGACTAAGAGGGAGAGAGGCTGCCTCAAGGTTTGTCCCTCACTACGAGTCAGGGCCCTAGCCCTTCAAGAAGGAGCAGGATGGAGGAAATCAAAGGACTCAAAGCTATACCTTTACTTCCTTCTGTAGGTGAGAATGAGACGCTCAAAACAAAGGGGCATTTAGACTTAGTGATGGGCGCAGAGAAGGATGACCCCTGGAGATGGCATCCCACCGGAAAACAGCCGCTGCGACGAGCAGCCCGCACACCACTGTGGCCACACGGCCCCCCGTGCCACAGCAAGGCCCCGGGTCCAAGCTGCCCTGGCCCACGACAGCAGCCCCGGGCGGCCCCGGGCCAGAGGGACCTACAGCCTCACGCCTCACACACCCGATACCAGAGAAGCGCTCAGGGGGAACCCAACGACTCGGCCTGCTCTAAGCCGCGGGGACTGGCTCACTCGGCAATCTCCCACCTATCTGGTGAATGGAGTAGTAACTGTCCTTTCTGTCGATGAACGCGTTGAGGACATTGAAGTAGCTATCCGGCTGCCTCTTCCGCTGTGTCCACCTCCAATCTATTGGAGAGATGCACAAGATCAGTTTTACCAAAAGAGGAGAAAGAAGCCTTTACGTTTATGAAACACTCAAGCCAAGGTGATACCCTTTCTTGAACCTTTCCGAAGTTAAAAGCCAAATTCTCCAGGATTCCAAATGCACATATGCTAACCCACCAAAACAAATCCATAAAGAACAGAAAACGGTTTCAGTGACGTAAAGATAATTTCTAAAAGACAAACATTCATCAATATTCTTTAAAGTCACTTTTTCAAATCAACAAATACCAGTGGGTCACCACTCAAGAAAACCCTGAATCCCAGCCTGTGTGCTTTGGGTAACCTAACCCCACAGTCCTGTTTGCTTCCTAAAAACGCTGTCGTCCCCGGTGCCGTGACTTACCTCGGCCTAAATGGCGGCACACCAGGGCCTGGGCAAAGATCATCTGTCCGCACCGCAGCATGCAGCCCCAGCCCGTGTCCGAGGTGGGGCCAGTGCCCCCTGTCATGGCGGACAAAGAGAGAGGGCTCGCCGTCAGATGGCCCAGCAGATCAGGAGTCCACTGGCAGGAGGCCTTGGCCCTAGCACACTTGGGGCAGCCCTACACCGCGTCAGCTCCATCTCAGGTGACAGGCCATTTAGAACCTGGTCATGCCAAGGGCACATTTACTGGGCAATGATACGTCCTGCGAACCCCTCGAAACGGGCAAAATATGTGAACAAGTCAGTCACAGAGAATTAAGAATGTCTGGAAAACATATGAAAAGACACTAAGTCTCATGAGTAATGAGGAAACTCCAAGTCAAATAAGGAGGACCTCTCTCCAAGCACCGGAAGGGCAAAGATACAGTTGCCGGGAGAGTGGGTCGTGCATGCGGGAGGGCAGGAACATAACCCAGGGGCGGTCAGCAACCACCCTCAGCACTTAAAGCACACTTGCCCCAGGGCCCCTCCACGTCACGCCCACTGCCAGGGCACAAAAGGATGCCGACCCTGGGCACCACAGCTCTGCATGCACTCCGAGACAGGCCCCAGCATGACAGGAGAAGCCCCGGCCATCCTAAGTACCGGCAAGGCGAGAGGCATGAAGCGGCGGCGGAGCCGAGACGCCAGGGCCAGCCCAGCGAGCCGCAGCCCCGGCTGGCTCCACCGTTTCCCCGCAGCATCACCTCGGAGCCTGGGGCAGCCCCTCCCACAAACGTGGGTGGACAAAGCCTCGAGGGGCACAGTGGGGTGGGGGGGGCGGGGGCGGGTAGACAAAGCGCAGTGCTCGGGATGCACGGCAACAACTCCCGTACAAACTAGTCATCTCTCCGTGGCTAGGGAAGGAAAGACCATGCTGGCCCTTAGTGGCAGGCACCGTCCTCCTCAGCGACTTGACCAAACAGTACAAGGCTCCTCTCAGCCTGTCCCTGCTCTGTGAGTCCAGACAGAGACCTGCAGGAGAGTGGTAGTCCCCCAGCACTGCCCGGCACACCCCCACTGCCCAGGCCTGCCCCGTCCTCAGGGCTGAGCAGAGCACGGCTGGCATAAACGACATCCCGGGGCATAGCGGACAAATCCCATCATTAGGTGGCCTGTGGTGGCGCTGGCCTCGTCTCCCCACCCCGCGGCGCTCCTGAATGTCAAGCCCTGTGGCTGTACCGCATCCAGCTCACTTCCAGAGAACACAGGCGACTGCATCTTGGTGAGGGGCCTGACAGAGACCTGCCACCCGGGAGCCGTAGCCTCCTGTTGCCGACCCTCTGGTCTCAGGTTCTCCAACCAGCAAAGGCAAGGCCAAGAGCTGGGGCCCCTCCATGCCCACCTCCAGGGTCACGACGACGAAGAGCCACTCTGAATGGGGCGTACATTAGTGCTATGCGAAGACATGGCCCATCCACCTTGCCTTTCAGCTCTCCCCACAACTAAGTGCGGGACACGAGAGAAAAGGTGATGGACACAGGGCAACGGCCTCCAAACATCCTGGGCCCACAGTCCGAAGCACACTGTGACAACCGTGACCCAGGACACCCTTCTGATGTACAAACTGGAGCCTCCTGAAGCCATACGCTGCCTCACTGTGGAAACACACGACTTCACACTCCATTCTGCTCTATACTTTTAAATGCTGCTTATAACTCATTATCCTGATTTTAGATCCCAGTAAGAAACCAGGACCAGCAGTTGGAAAATCCCTGCCCTCGGGAGAGTCAGGAGTCCCGAGTTTGGACCCTAACTTCACCACGCTAGGCGTGAGACCTCAGCCGGCTTACGTCACTAGGGTTGCTGTGAGGTCTGAGATGCAGTGACAAGTACCCAGCACACCGACGTCAACACTCTACACCCAAGTTGCCCTCCTTACAAAGCCTGTATCTACCACCACGTGTAGTAACCGACGGCGTACTTACCAATGGCTGGGAAGTTTTTCCTGTATGTAAACCAAAGTCTGGACGCCACATCGGACAAGATCTCATCCTTTTCTAGGGATTGTTTAAAAGAAGAAAACACACACAGCCTTAACTTCGTAGATCATATGTTACAGAAAATTAGCAAATAACTATTATCACCACAACGTGCTTTTCACAGCCTGAGCCCTGAGAGCACAGCAGGCTCTGAGGCGGCGAATACCTGTGAAGATGCTGTATTTTCTACCCAGTATCCACACAGGCTCTGAGGTCTCCGGGAAATCTTCAAACTCAGCAAATCGAAGAGTGTCGTAGGTCAGAGTAGCTATTGAAACCAAACACACATTGATCCCATTTTTATAATTTCATAAAACAATGTGAAAGATGATTTCTAGCGTTTCCGGGTAAAGAGCTCTGTGTGATCCTGTGTCTCATCAGGGCTGTGACAACCACCACAGACAAAGCAACCGCAAGCAACAGGGCAGCAGCTCCTGAGCCTCGCCTTCCGGCAGACACGAGGGTGAGGCCGACAGCACCAGGCCCGGGGCAAGGAAGTACCTGACCTCAGTACTGGTTTTAGCCTTAAACCGACAGGACAAAAGTAACCCTTGCATCTCAGTATGTAAGCGAGGCCACACACCGAGTAGACGGTAGAGCCAGTGTCCCCCAGGAGCAGGTGTCTAGAGGCCGAGGAGAAGGCAGGTACTTCACGGGCAAGAAACACAAGCTCGGGGATGATGACGACCAGCCGTGGAAGGGCAGGTACTATTCCTGGGTGGGACACAAATCCCCAGAAACAGACAGACCCTTCTGCAAAACTCCCTGAGGCTCTTGCAGCTGTTTTCACTTCAAGATGCTCCCAGAAGAGCGCGGCCACCAGCCCCCACCTCCTAAGAAGATCGCTGTGTATGCAGCTAACAAGACCTGAGCGCCATTTTATTCTGTGTTGCTTCGGTTAAGAAACTAGAGAGGCCCAGTGTCCCTCTCTGTCCTCGGAAGCCAGCTGAGGAAACCCTCTATACACAGTTCCCAGATTCAGCAGAGCACAGACCGACACCCGCGAGGCAAAGGGCAGTGTATCCCGGGTCCCCCGACTCTTCAGCTGCTCCTCACAGAACCCAAAACACACAGTTCTCATCTGCTGCCTCGCAAGCCTCAATGGTACCTAGTCACTCGTACTCTTCACCTGCAATTGCCCAGATAACTTTGGAAAATCTATTATAATCGTTTCTCCCACATCTGAATTTACTTTTTGACAATAGTCCCACCTTTTGGTAACAATGACGTATTAATTTTTAAAAACCCAAAGACTACAAAAATATTATTAAAAAAATCTTCTGCAGCTTCACACCCAGCAAGGAATCTCCTTCCAGAAGTCTCTGCGTAGATCCGTAAAGGAAAGCGTACCACACCTGTGATTTCCTCGTCTCTAGTCTCTCAACGGTGATAGTCCACACAGACACAGAGCTCTAGCAAGTGTGTGACAGTCTCACAGCACCCTGCCCAGGCCACCGGTAACTCCCGCACCCTGTCGAGATGCTCCTAACATACCCTGCGGAGCATCCCTGTGTGTCCCTCTGTGCTGTGCACAATCCCTTGGGGATGTTGGGGGTCCAGTGCTGGCTCTGGTGCCTGGCAGTGGAGGTTCAAACCCTAGCTCAAGCACTCCCAGGTTGTAGGTTCTTTGGGCCCCTTGATCCCTCGGTGTAAAAATTTCCTTACTCATAAAATGGGGGAAAATAATAGGATGCCCTCACAGCGCAGCTTCAAAGTGTCCGTGAACCCCTTCCCATGAGGTGCGCACACACAAGCTGGCAGACAGAAGGGCGCCAAGGTCAGCCAGTGTCATTAATACTGAGGACGCAGAACTGCAGGCTCAAGGGCACATGATTTTACTACACCCAAAAGGCTAAACTGGATGTGCAGCTAATTCCCAGGCCCAGGGTTGGGAAAACAATGCTCCGTGAACAGAGAAATCCACAGCACCCGAAGACCCTGCGTTCGCTACTTCAAGAATTCTCAGGCTGTCAGGAACCCAGACCCAGCTCCGCCTTTTTTTCTTTCCGCCGGAAACCTGACAGCGTCAGGGCAGTCCCAGTGCTTCCAGAACAAGCTGTGCTTCCCGGAGCGCCTGAGCACGATGGCGGGCACAGGGGCCCTCACCCACGGGGCTTCATGCAGGGGCTCTGCTCAATGTGTCCGACTTGCCGGTGCTTCCACAACGCCAACCAAGCTGCTCTACGCTTACACAGTCCAGGTTGACCTCCCCCTCTTTTCTGCAGGTGATTATCAAAGCTACGCTGGAGTGAGTTCAAGTTCCACCTTCTCGAGGAGCTGCACATGGTGTTTGTTACTTCTCTATCGTTAGGAACCCCGGGCTTCAACTGATATGTAGATTCAAACCCAAACATTGACTCTCAAGGAGAAAGGATGCAAACCACTCGACTGCACTGCAGGACGTTAACTGCCCTCCTGCCCTACTGATGCCCAGGACCCTCTGAAGACCACAGCCATGAACCAACGATGCAGAGATGGCTGACAATCCTGGAGGGCTACGAGTGCCGTGGGCGAGCATCTCGTGTGCGCTTGTCGCCAGAGGGGAGCGGCACCCGTCAAAGGACCACAGCCCCGTATCAAAGCTGCGGCACCTTTGAAGTAGAGAGGTTTTCATCACTGAGGTGGCAAAATGCGAAACAGGCGTACTTCTTAGGTTTACTAGCAAACTTTATAGGCAGCCAAGCCAACTTCAGAGGGAAAGAAGTAAGAGATGTTCTATTAACTTAACACTTTATCACCCAATTTCCTAAGATAGCTAACCAAATTATGGGTTGTGTGGCCTCAGATTCTTTTCTGCTTCAGCCAAAACCAAGCAAGGAGACAGACACACCCGAGGGGAATGAACTACCAGAACGTGACCCCAGCTCTTGCCAGATGAGCAGGAGCCTCGAAGTGAGGGTGCAAATTTATCATCTGCAGGCTCCCTAAGGAGTGCTCCACGCCCCTGTGTCCCCCATGCCCCTCACGTCACTGCTCCTCCTGCCTCTGCCCCTCCAGTTGACTGTGCGTGCGAGCCGCTCCCCCCGAATCCTGCTCCTGTTGGATGCAGGTCACATGAGCCTCTGGAACTGGCTGCAGACACAGCTCCCCCGTGGCATGGCAGCTTCCTCAGACAGGGACCGTGTTCCTGTCGGTCCTGGGGGACACTGCACATGCAGCATGTGTCCACCATGCCTGCTGAACACAGTCCCCGCTGTGGGCAGCCCGAAGTCTGACCCTCACATGGTGGTGACCTTACTGTGCCTCAGTTTTCTCACTGGTAAGATGGGAACAGCTGTGTTTCCCTCAGGGACCATGTGAGGAAACGTGGAAAGCTTTGCCCCATGCTGGGCAACAGGAAGCACGTTTTGGGGCGGGTCCCCTGGGAGTCACTGGGACGGGTAAGTTGGTGATGCCACAGTGTGCAATGAAGGCCAGTCTCCACGTGCTGTAACAGGTGTGGCACTCAGTGCAACACACACAGGAGACTCACCCAAATACGTGATCTACCTCACTAAAGCGGAATGTAAGCAACAAGCTTTCCTCACAAGACTGGGGTTTAGGGAGTAGAAGCCAGCCATCCGAGACACTTCACAGGCTAGTTCAACATCCTGAGGCTTCCGCCCTGGAAAATGAGCACAGAGTCCCACGGACCCTCAGCACTTCCAACCAGGAAAGCAAGCGAAGGGCTTCTCGTCCCCGTATAGCCAGCAGAGTCTTGACTGACCTTCGGCGGCTCTGCCCCGTCCCGCCTGCAGCAGAGGACACCGACACCTGGAATAAATGTCACAGCCCAGGCGCCCTCACGGCTCCCCCGGACAGAGGCATGCTCACTTAGCGCAGGCTGCCTCCACCAGACCACCAAGCTCCCGGACCTTCCGGACCTCACTCTCCGATGGTACTCTCGAAAATACCGTTCATTCCTGACGTTCAACTTTCTCATCTCTACGAAGACTTGTTTTTTGGAGACAGAGAGTCCAACTGCCAGCGGTAGGACGCACGGCCCTGGTCCCTGGGCCACGAGGCGGGACACAGCTGCTGGCTCTGCCCCCTGGGGCAGGAACGCAAGGCCCGGGCCAAGTTCCAGCCGCGTGTGCAGCACCTTCTCTTCCTCCTTTTTATATTATTTCAAGCCTTGTTATCTGTAAGACGAAACTAAATCTCCCTTGCCCCCTACACAACACCACTTTTATCGTTGGTATTAACTTAGTCAAAACACATATTAATACTTCTGTAGAACAAAAAACATCACAGAGCGCCCGTTCAGAAAACAGCTCAGTAGAAAAGCTAGTACTTTTCTATTTTTTTTTTTAAAGATTTTTTTATTTATTAGACAGAGAGAGAATGAGAGAGAGCGAGCACATGAGAGGGGGGAGGGGCAGAGGGAGAAGCAGACTCCCCGCCGAGCAGGGAGCCCGATGCGGGACTCGATCCTGGGACTCCGGGATCATGACCTGAGCCGAAGGCAGTCGCCCAACCGACTGAGCCACCCAGGTGCCCCTAGTACTTTTCTATTTTAAAACTTAAGTTCACAATCAGTAACATCGGCACAGATCCGCCAACACAGAGGAGGTGCCGGCTGACCTCCAGCTCTCTGCTCAGACTGACCAGCTTCACAGGGGCTTGATCTGCATCCTTCCCACAGAGGGTCACCCCAAATTAATTAGGCCTCAGAATAATTTCATCATCACCACATGCAACATCATATGTGAAGCAGTTCACATACCTCCTGAGTGAAAAGGGGTCAAATCTCGAAAAGAATGCCAATCTCCAGACTCCAGGAAATGGTTTTAACTTCCACTAAGAGGACACACAGGACAAGCAAGACTGACAGGTGTCACCCAGTTAAGAATGAGGCTCTTTCAGAGGCACTCTCCCTCATTTGGTCACTTGGGTTCCAGACACTTGATTTTCCACATTTTCCTCCGAGATGTCTCTGACCACACCCGGAAGAGGAAGCAGAAAGCCCTTTAATAGTATGGTAATTCCATTAGAAACAAATGTTTTAATATTATTAATCTGGCAGAAAAATAGGGAATTGTGCTCAATGAAGGTAACCAATTTGTCTCCACTTAGTACCAATCACACTATAATTTAACCAGGGAGAACCACAAAAACACGCACCACTACCTTTTTTTTACATAAAGCATCACTTTTCAAAGATATTTCCCCCAAACATCTATAGCTTCTGAAAGATTATGCTTTACAAATAAAATCAAAAGAAGAGTTCTCCCCTTCCTTTAGAAAATGTTTATGTTTAGGGACGCCTGGGTGGCTCAGTCCACGGCTCAGGTCATGATCCCAGCGTCCTGGGATCAAGTCCCACACTGAGCTCCCTGCTCAGCAGGGAGTCTGCTTCTCCCACTCCCTGCCGCTCCCCCTGCTTGTGCGCTCGCTCTCTCCGTCAGGTAAATAAATAAAATCTTAAAAAAAAAGGAAAATGTTTATGTTTAGAGTAACAGGTTTGCAAGTAGTTACTTCTTAAAATCCCAAATAGTTTTCATGAAGATGTTGGTAGTTCAGTTTTGAATGAAAAGGAAGGAAAAGCACCCAGAACGTCAGCTACACCAGAGACCTAGAAAATACTGCGCTCGAGAGCACACTGGACAGAACACCACACTGAGCCCCTCTGCCCTGCAAGGGTCAGCAGCCCCTTCTTACACTGACACCTTACACACTAACAGACTCTCTAAACTGAAGTCCTTATAGTGCAGGAACGTGTAAGTTGCCATTAATTCAAGTTCTGCTTCCTTGATTACCAACCACATGCCAGACACAACTGAAGCCCTGGAGATGCAAGCTCAAGATACGGGCTCTGTCCTCAAGGCACAGACAGCACAGCCATTTAACTGCAGGCACCCACCACTCCTTGAGCCCTGAATGTGTTCACACACACACAGTGCTGGGGGCTTGGTGGAGAACACAACCAGCCTGTAGTCCGCCTGCCACCTTCTGGACCTCTCCATGCCAGCCAGCAGCCCTGGGTGCCCCTCCCAGGCCCCTTCTCTTTCTTCCTCCTCTCAGACCCTCAGTGACTCATCCAAAGCAGCTTCCCACACACTTCGACCTCGAGTCCAGGCCTACGCCCTGAGCTCCAGGCCTGTGGACCCAGAGCCTCCCTGGACGTCATAACAAAGATGTCTAACAACAGTCAGCACATACAAAACCAACAGCTCCCCCACCAAGACCCCCAAAGTCTTCCCCACAAGACATTCTCAGTTCAGGCCATAAACCTCAGCACCATCTTCAAGTTCTCCCTCTCCATGCCTCCCACCACCCCCATCACTTCCAGTCTGTACACAGTCCTGATGTCTCAACCCTCAAATACATCCAGAAGTCAACCTCCTCTCTCCACCCTGAGCCAAGCTTCCACGGCCTTTCATTGGCTTAGCAACAGCCTCCTAACTGGTCTCCTTGTTTCTGCCCTTGCCCCTCTGCAGGACATGCTGTATATCCTGGACAGAGCAGCCAGAACCAGTCCGGTAAACATCCGCCCAGTCATATTATTTCTCTACTCAAAACCTTCCAAAGACTCACCAACTCATTTAGAATAAACGCCCCAGTCCTCACTATGACCCAACCAGGCCCCGTGACTGGGCCAAATTTGTCTCTCTGCCTTCAGCTTCTACTTCTCTCACCCCCACCTGCTGCATCCTGGCCACACTGGCCCACTTGCCCTTCCTCCTGCACTGCTTTTGGGTCTTGGTCAAAACTAACCTCTGTCTGCAGTGAGATTTTTTTCCCTGGCCATCCTGGCTATAATTCTAACTCTCTCTTGCTTGGCCCACATCACTCTCCCACATGAGCCACATGGTTTTGTCTATTTTGTTCACTTCTCTAGCCCCAGGGTCTAGAACAATGCCCAAGACAAACCTCTCATTCAATAACAAATGCAGTTTATTGAATGGATCACTATAAAAACAACTAGAAACTGCGTAAGACTTGGTCAAGAAAGGCAGGCTTTGTAAGGAGTCCAGGGATCAGAGGAGGCTGCACCATTAATCACCCCTAAAAAGATGTGCAGCATCGTGTCAGAAAAAAAACTCTCCACCACAGCCTCCAAAGATCATACGTATTTTTATCAGCATCAACAGCAGCCTTCAAATGCAAACACTTTTTTCTACTTTGAAATACCCTTCAACTTTAACATGATGATTTTCATGTTCAAGGTAACATGACCAACACTGAATGTGTTTTTCCACCTTACCCATGTCTCTCCTACAAAGTCTAAAATATCCGAGCAGCGATAACTTCAAAGAAAGTGGATAAACAGTTCTATTCCTTTCTCCACTCCAGTTCCCCAGCAAACAGTAAAACACCCTCTCTGGTTTCTCTTTTTTAAACAAACTTCACAAAAAATAATCTGGTTAACATGCTTCTTTGGGAGTTAGGACTACTGTTTGCTCCAGCCAGATGCCACAAGTCATTGAAATACTGGCCATACACGTCCGCATTCCAGCTTCCAAACTGAGATTTCGGTAAATTTAAGTTGCCCATGCCAAGAGAAGAAAGACAAGGCAAACAAAGCCACCCAGAATGACAGGTGGAATTAAACCAGGTGGCGGTGGGGGAGAGGGGGGTGCTGAAGGCAAATCACTCCCCGCAAGGAATGAAAGGACTACAACTACCCTGGCATGAGAGAGCCCGTGTCAGAACACTTTTAAGCCTACTGAACAAAGACCCAAAATAGTTTGCAAGCAAAAATTAAAGAATTGTCCCCTCTGGAACAGAAGCATGACGAGACAGGCCAGAACGCCACATATGCACATATTCCCACGTGTACACGGACACACATGTACACATACGCCCTCCCACCCGCCACATACTTCGCATCACGACCCCAAGAAGTTAAGATACGACGAGATGAGTTCAGTTTCTCTCTTCAACCACGAAGAGAAAGCTTGCATGATCTACTGGTCACTGAAACGCGTGTGCAGTGAGTGTTGGGAGCATGTTTCTCGCCTCCAGCCTCCCAATGCAACTTCCTAAGAGGTAAAGAGCTTCCACTGCTTAATGCTTGGGGCGTGGGGTGGGGGCAGGCACAGCACTCTCCGGCCCCCGGTTCTGGAGCCAGCTCCGCCCGGCGCCCCTCCCGCCCGTCTCGGACACCACGCTGCCCCTGCTTGTCCGCGCCGGCTTTGGGCCTGTCGCCGGGCGCCCGGGCGCTGCGGGCGGGGCTGAAAAAGCGCCGAGACACGCAGACAGCCGACTGTCAGACCCGCGCCGGCCTTCCCACAGACGCCGTCCCCGCCCCGCTCGGCGCCAGCGCCGGCT